CGCCTGCTGTGTACCTGATTCCTCCTGCTGTGCCTCCTCCTGCCAGCCCAGCTGCTGTGGCCCAGCGGCCTCCAGCGTGTCCCTGCTCTGTCGCCCTGTGTGCAAGCCCGCCTGCTGTGTGCCTGATTCCTCCTGCTGTGCCTCCTCCTGCCAGCCCAGCTGCTGTGGCCCAGCCTCCAGTGTGTCCCTGCTCTGCCGTCCTGCCTGCTCCCGCCCAGCCTGCTGTGGGTCCAGCTGCTGTTGAGCATGGTCCCCAGGCCCAGCAGGCCCAGGTCCCTCCCTTACTTCTCCCACTGTGGGCCTCTGAGCTGCCTCAGCATCAACCACTCCCCAGCCTCTCCTCTTCTTAGTACCTGAGGGGCTCCGGTCTAACCTCAGACAACCCTGCCTCATCCTCTGCCCACACCCATCTTGGGGTCCCAGTCATCAGCCTGGAAACCCCTCTCCAGAATCCAGGCCTCATGGGCTTAGCACCTTGGCTACTGTCCACCCTGTGGCTAGAAGCTTCCTTGGAACCCTAATAAATTCACTTCTGCATGACCCCAGCTGTGCAGCGTTCTTCCTCTGGTGATTTCTAGTTGAGTGGCTACCAGCCCTGACAGGAGGCTGGTGGCTGGTGCAGCTCCGGCCCTCCTGCAGCCCCCCTCAGGCCCTGCCCAGCATACACTACACTGAAGGGTTGTGGGTGGCAGCAGTGCATGAGGCCTGGCACCACCCTGGCAGTTCCTGGCACCCACATCCCTGGTGGGTGCATGCCCAGTTTTATTCCCACCTACAGCTCAGCTCTAACCCATGCTTTGAGGAATTGGAGCCCGGGATGAGCATCTGACTGGGGCCTCGCAAGGCAGTACCTGCCTCCTCACACCAGTAGGGCCACTTCTTCCCTGCCCTCTACCATCTGTCTAGAGGCCTCTGCTCAGGCCACAAATATCCCGAGTTTGTTCTAACATGGAAAATAAGTAACATGGACCTGCAACCCTCCCTACCATATCCTCTAGGCTCAGTGGCTGTCTTACCTACTCCCGCCCCATAGCTCTTGGTGGCCCTGGGTAACCCCACTCTGTCCTCCGACACACCATCCTTTCTCTACCCCTTGCTGTCCTCCCCCCCTTGACCAGCTTGCCTCGTGCTAGGTCATTCCCACTCTTGTCCCTGTCTGTCGGCCTGTCCCTGCCGTGTGGGGCCTGTGAGGCTTCTCTGCCCTGGTTCCAAGGTGTCTCCCCTGTTCCTTCTTGCTGACTGCTCTTGGAGTACTACATGGACTGACATTCATCCACACCTCACTGTGCTGTGGCACCTTGGTTCTCCTGTCTCTGGTCTCCTCTGCTGGCTTCACCCCTCACCCATCGCCTCCAGATGTGGTCTCAGGAGCCAAGCCTGGCACCCTGCCTTCCTTCCCTCCCCGGAGGGTTGGGCAGGGAGGAGGATCCTCTTCCCTCCTCACCTGTTCCCATACACTGCCATCAGGCATGGAGCTGTGCCTCCCCCTGCCAGAGGCCTGTCCTGACCCTCACCACCCTTGTTTCCCAGTCCAGGGGGCTCTGGTCAATTGCAGAAGGTAGGTAAGATAGTCACCTGGGCCTCGGTGCTCCCAGGGCCACCATGCAGCAGAAGCTCAACTCACAGGTCAGGCACATCTTGGGCTCTAAGGGCTCCAAGTGACAAGCAGAGATCCTTCTACAGATTTATTTTTGAAGAAAAAAAAGCATGTTTTTTGTCCAGTAGAAGACGCCAACCTTGAAGAAACACTCTAGAGGATGTGACAGCTTCAGGACAAATGCCACTTCCCACCCAGGGTCCCTCAACCACAGGGAGGGCAGAAGAGCCACCAACAGAGAGGGCAAGGGGGCTACTGGGCCTCAGCCGTGCCTGGCAGGGGACAGCACTGGCTGTTCTTGCTGCATCCTGGCCTGCACCCAGTCCTGGAGACCCCAAAGCACCAACCATGCAGAATCATGGTGCATGGGGCGGGCGTGAGACCTTCTGCATTATCAGAACGCCCTTGAGACCATGAGATCAGGGCTCTGCACCTGACTTTCGGGCTAAGGGAGTCCCAGGGGGACAGAAGCCCTGCCCAGGCAGCACACCGTTCTTGGGTCAGACCCACTGGGCCTGGGCAGCTGTGGAAGTCTCCAGCTAAACTCATCCTGGACTCTTCTGGGGCTTCAGTGGGATTTCAGCTTCCCTCCCGGAATAATGCTGTCACATGGCCAATGCAAACAACGCACTTGCCAAAATGGCCCTGTGAAATGGTGGGAAGGGCCTTCCCAGGGACGGCGAGGCCGAGGCTGCAGAGAGGGGTAGGAGAGACAGGAACCACAGAGCAGGCATGTGCTGGGGTTTGGGGACAAAGGACATGGCAGCCAGATTGCCCTCTCCCCGAAATCTTCTCACTGACTGACCCCTGGAACCTGAGAAAGCAACATGACAGGAATAAAGGATGCCACAGGCTGAATGGAGTGCTGGTTAAGACTGAGGTGTGTAGTCACCTGGATCGGCCTGGGCGCCACATGTCTGCACAGGTGTGTCCTTGAGGGAAGCAGAAGAAAGTCTCACAGGAAAAGGAAGAGGTGACATGATCAGAGGCAGAGGCTAAGCAATGCCAACACCAGCCTCGGGATGCCTGGCCAGATGGGAGAGGAGGCAGGGAGGCCCCAGAGCCCTTGTGGACACCGGCCTTGCCCAGACCTTGCCCTCAGCAAAGGGAACTGCTGAGACCTGCAGAGCAGTAGGGGAGTGGGGACCCCACTTTTTCACCCCAGCCCATTGCAGGGGGCCGCTGTACTGGTGGGCACTGTGTGATAAACGGGGTGCTTACAATTCCCAAGTAGTCAGACTTAAAACATCATGGAGATGACACCAAAAACAGTATTAATAAAGCAAGCCCAGATCCCAAGGGATCAGCTCGGTCCAGCTTTGGACAGAAGAGCGTCCACAGCCTTCCCTGAGGAGTCTGGCTCCTCAGCCGGGCCTCCCCCTTGCAGCCCTGGCCTCTCAGTGGCTTTCCTGTCCCTCTCACCACAGCTGTACCCCTTCCCCTGATGGTGGGAGCTGCCCTGACTGCCCAGGTGGCCGTGACTGTGCAGGGTGGTCCTGACTGCCCAGGTGACTATGACTAGCAGCATTGCCATCTCTGCTCCCCCACTCAGGTCCAGGCAGCCTGGGCACATGTGGGGACCATGACAATTGTCAGAATACGATGGAGTCATTGTGCCAAACCCTAAGCAAAAACAACAACAAACAAATATAAATAAAGCCCAGGTCATTGCGTCAGACTTTTCGTTCCTGTGACAAAATACCTGAGAAAACAACTTCAGGGAGGAAGGGTTTGTTTGGCTTGGGGATTCAGAGAGTTCAGTCTGTGATTGGCTTGGATCCATTGCTGTGGGTGAGGTACAGCATCTGGCAGGAAACAGGTGACAGGGCAAAGCGGCATACCTCATGGCAGCCAGGAAGCAGAGGGGGAACCAGCAAGTGGACAGGATGCAGCCCTCAGAGTTCTGCCTCCTCCAAAAGCAAACACTTCCTCCAACCAGGCCACCTCCTACAGCCCACCCAGCTCTGAGCTCATCACTGATTCACCCATTGAGGAAATCAGCACCCTCTCGATAGCAACACCAGCTGGGGACAAGCCTTCAGCACACCAGCCTGTGGAGACAGGTTCCAAATGACAACTGTCACAAAGGAGAGACCCTCACACACACACGAAATATGTCTCTGAGAACAAGACACTGCCAGGACCTCAGCCTCACGCACAGACCACTGCCACCTGACGCAGAAAACTCCTCTCAGAGGCCGTCTGCCCAGCGCCTGCCCCCCAACCTCAGACAGGCGCTGCCCTTGTTACTGCTCCTCGTAGCTGGGGAGGTTTAAAACAACTCCCACAGCCCTCCCTGTTTTGCCTTTAAAACCCGTGCCTCCCTGAAAGCACGTTTGCCCTGACATGCATCCCACAAGGGGAGTGAATGCGTTCTCACCACTGGAGCATCGCACGTCCACTGACCGCCCTGTCCTCCAGGAAGAGGCACCCCCACCCCTGCCCAGAGAGTGGGCGCCATGACTTTCACTTCCAATAGAACATTTCGAGATTGTCTGGCAGGAACCCATGTGTCCCACCAGGTGTCTCAGCAGCCCCTGGACAGAGTTCCTGGGCTCCAGCCCCAGGCAACACACAGTGGTCATGAGGAGTGTGGACACAAGAAAGTGAAGAAGGGGCTCCAACAGCCTCCTCAGCAAATTCAAGGGCGGCCACACACAGCTGCCTGAGCCTCCACTGGCCACTGTGCAGCCACCGCAAAGCCAGAGTGGAAGCACTGAGAGCAGGCCCTGTTAGAAGGGACTCACCCCAAATGAGATGGGTAACCCCTCAGCAGGACACGGCCTAACCCTGTCCCTGCCACAAACACAACCTCACTGCCAGAGCAAGAGTAATAGTTGGTAGAAGGAACGGCAGCTGGGCAGCTAGCCGCTAGACCACCAGGCCACACACTTCCATCCTGGCCTCAGCAGAGGTAGAGGCAGCGATAGCCAGCCATAGTCACTAGTGGAACAGGCTCTGGAGTCACCACCTTCCCTTTATCTTCGGGCACTTGGTGGCAAATGTAAAGCTAAGGTGACATGCCCAGAGGTGGCACCCACACAGCACACCACTCCAAAAGCAGACTCCAACTACCCCATCACCAGGCCCTAAGACAAGTCAAGGGCCACCCAGCTACCTCTGCTGTCCTGTACCTGCCCCTCCCCTCCACCATCAGCAGCTCTGGCCAGGGAGGCCAGGCTGGTCCAGCACACAGCCCGGATGTTTATGAGCTGTGTGGCATCTCAGGGAAGACGCAGGACCGACCCAAACACCAATAAGGAAAGAGGCGCTTCCAGGAGCTTCTGACGCCAGCACGCAATGCAGAGGGGTATAAAAGCTGGCGCCCCACCACACACACACACACACACACACTCACACTCACACACTCACTCACACACCCTCCTCCAGCCCAATCCCCACCATGAACATGTCCACCATGTCCGTCTGCTCTGACGCTTACACTGACGCCTCCTGGCAGGTGGACGACTGTCCAGAGAGCTGCTGCGAGCCCTGCTGTGCCCCCAGCTGCTGCCAGCCCAGCTGTGATGAGTCCTGCTGTCAGTCCAGCTGCTGTGCCCCCAGCTGCTGTGTCCCAGTCTCCTGCCTGACTTTTGTCTGCTCCCCAGTGAGCTGTGTGTCCAATCCCTGCAGTCAGTCAGTCTGCACCAGCTGCTGCATACCCTCATGCTGCCAGCAGTCTAGCTGTGAGCCCTCTTGCTGCTCCTCCTCCCCCTGCCAGCAGTACTTCTGTGTGCCCGTCTGCTGCAAGCCCTCCTCCAGCGTGTCCCTGCTCTGCCGCCCCGTGTGCAAGCCCGCCTGCTGCGTACCTGATTCCTCCTGCTGTGCCTCCTCCTGCCAGCCCAGTTGCTGTGGCCCAGCGGCCTCCAGTGTGTCCCTGCTCTGCCGCCCTGTGTGCAAGCCCGCCTGCTGTGTACCTGATTCCTCCTGCTGTGCCTCCTCCTGCCAGCCCAGCTGCTGTGGCCCAGCGGCCTCCAGCGTGTCCCTGCTCTGCCGCCCTGTGTGCAAGCCCGCCTGCTGTGTACCTGATTCCTCCTGCTGTGCCTCCTCCTGCCAGCCCAGCAACTGCCGCCCAGCAGCCTCCTGCGTGTCCCTGCTCTGCCGTCCCATCTGCTCCCGCCCAGCCTGCTTTGGGTCCACCTGCTGATAGGCACGGTCCCCAGGGCCAGCAGGTTCAGGTTTCACTTACTTCACAGTTACCTTTAGGATTAACCTCAGCATAAGGTCAGGTGCCTGGCTCAGCATGACGGGTCAACGATGTCACACTCAATTGCCATGTCAGGCCCAGAAGAACAAACATGCTCTCCCTGTCATGCGGGTGCACAGGTTGCTCCTGAAGTGTGGCCACGGTTCCTCACAACCCTACTGTCCTCCCTGTCCCTCCCGTCAGTGGGAAGTGTCCTTCCCTGCAATTAATAAACGTGACTTCTGGCCTCTGAGTGTCCTTTCTCCTTGCCTCTAATGAGCATCGGTCTTTTCTCCAGCTAACACGGCCCTGGCTCCAGCAACATCCAGGACAAGCTAGGCCTTCAGGGCATTTCTGAGTTCCAAGGACTCGCAGATTCCATGTCCTGAGCTCCTGGGCTAATGCATCCCCCAGCCCCTGGGTGGCTGGCCTTGACTTCCACATGGTGACATCTCTGGAGCCACATCTGACCAGTGGCTACCGCTGGAGTGGTCTTCAGCAAGAGGACTCTGCCACTCCACGTCTCGCTGTCCCCGGTCAGTCTGAGGGCCTCCACGAAACAGGGGGGCTGGCAGGGTTTTCTGGAGCACAGTAGCATCGCATCTCTGCTGTCAAATGGCCTCCAGACAGGTCCTTCCACCATGCCTCCCGCTCCATCCCAGTGTTTATTCAAATAGCCCAAGCTTCCTGTCTGTGCCTGTGACAGCCATCAACAGCACACTTTCCATAGTCCAGACCCAGCCTGGGCTGGCAAAGGTCAGGGAGAAAGAGACCAAAGGTTGAGGCCTCAGGATCCCACATTCTGGTATGAGGCCCACCCTTTGCCCTTGGACCAGTCTGGATTGGGCTCCCACATTTCCAGAGCTCCAAATGTCCTGTGCCCAGCCTCTGCTCCTGGCCAGACCACTTCTTAGCCTGCCGTTCCCGTGTCTACACCCACACACACACAGTGCCCTCCTAGCTCCTGACCCTACGCTGCCCATGGATCACCAAGCTGTAAATCCAAGAGGCTAAGAAACCCAGACAAAGCCTCCCTAAGACTCTCAGAACAGTTTTAAAAGATACCTGAGCCTCAGGTGGTCTGATCTGCCAGAACTTCTCCCAACACTCCAGGCTGAGCCAGCCTTTCCCTCTACTGCTCTTAAAAAAAAAAAAAAAAAGGGTGTCCAGAGACCCCACAAATACAAACTCTGCTCCTCCACACAAACCAGGGCCCTCGTTCTGGAGCTGTGGGGCATGAAGTGGGTGGCCCTGTCCAGCCTCCTATACCACTCTCCTAGGGAGACCTAGTCAAAGAGGACATGAGAGAAGTCAGTTCCCCCTCCTGCTAGGAGCCAGAAAACTCCTGGGACTCTGCTCACCTGTCACCAGGAACTCCTCCTCTGTGATTTTAGCACCTCCCTCTGGCCACAGTCAGCAGCCCCCCTCGACCAGTGACCTGGGGCCGTTGACCCTCTGACCAACTTTCTGTCTTCAAAACAGAGAACATGACGCCAGATCCAAAGGAAAACAACTGTGTGAAAACAGTCGCCAAAATACTTCTAAAAACAAATGATGCAGTGAAACACGGGCTTACTAACAGGAGGTGGGGGTCTCATGCGGACAGCACAGCCCGAGCATCTGTGACAGGAAGGAGAAGTTGCTGGATGGCAGTCAATGGTGCTATGCACTGTGTGCTGCTGTCTCCATAGCAGTCCCTGGGGTGATTTTAAGACATGAGGACACACCAATCCCCACCCACGTTCATGGATCCTGAGTTTCTGCCACAGGCCCTAGATGGAGCCCAGCTGTTCAGGAAAGCACAAGCTATCCCGCCACAGAGCCCACAGTGCAGACCCTGTGTGGACGCCCTGTCCTGTTCTTCAGGACATCAGCTGTGGCCTGTCCCCACCACTGAGGAAGCTTCCCTGGCTTGTCCCCAGACAGAGTGAGGTGTCAGGGAGATCGGGGACAAACACAGGGACCAGGAGCTCTCCCACCAGAACTGGCAGATGGGTGTGGAGCTGTGCCCTGCAGCCCACATGGACACCTCTGAAGCATGCCTTAGCAAAAGAGGAAATGAGATGGGTCCCACAGCCTGGGCAGCTGTGCCGGGGTTTCTCACCTGCCACACTAGTTTACATGTGTGGGTGTGTTGACACACAGACTCCTGACCCCAGCAGTGCACACACACTCCACGCGGTCCCCTGGTGCGGCCCTCAGACTGGACCCATTTCACAGGGCAGGGGCTTGTAGTCAGGGCCACCCCCTCCCACCCATGACCCAGTGGGCCTGGTGCAAGCAAGGGGCCTGCTGACCACACATCAACCTACTTGGCATTTCTTTTTCTCTTCCACGTCCAGTTGCTGAAGCCCCCTGACAATGCTGATGGGATTTGCTGGACCCCTCTGAGGTCCTGCCCCACCAAAGCCTGGCCTGGGGTGGGACTATAAGGAGCAATGACAGATAGGTCCACCCTGCCTCTAGGAGGTCAAGGACCACACTAGCTTCTGGGCAGGGAACCCCCAAGGGGTCAAGCCAGGGGTCTCATCCCATTCCAGATGGCGTGGAGTACAGAGCTCAGAGGCCCACCACTGATGACATCTCTAGTCGCTCCCCAAGACTTGGCAGGGTGGGAAGAGAAAGGGTGTAAGGGTGTCTCCACCCTGCCCCCACCCCCACCCCAATGAGAAGCTGAGCCATGAGCAGTGGGGGATGGGGGGTAAGATGGGGTCTGCAGAGCAGAAGGAGCACCTGGGGCTCTTCTGGGCTGGGGATGAAGATGAGAAGTGAGCTGGTTCTGCTCAGGGCTGGGCCTCTGATCCTCATTTGCTTAAGAACAAGAATTGATTAAATGATAAAAGTGGTAGACATAAAAAATCCTAAAGCCTACCCTAATTTCCAAGGGGTCTCAGTCCTCCAAAACTGTCCTTTTGGGCTTTCAGCCTGGCTCACCACCCCATCTGGGAGCACTGGAGGGGCACCACACCCCATCTGGTCTGCCCAGGACCCTCACTGCACACACAGAGGGGTCCCACACAGGCAGTTTGGGGGGAGCTGAGGGGTTCAGACGCTTGGGTTTCACATCCTGCCTCTTTCACCTCAAAATAGTGTTTCCGCTTAGGGTTGTCCAGCCACAGGCAGGTGACAGCTGGCTGGAAAGGAGTCACAGGTGGCTGGAGTGTGACCTATGGGGCTTGAACCTGACAGGGTGCTCGGTCAAGAGGGGACATCCTCTTGAGGACCCCTCCAGGGACTAGGAGTCCTCAGGGCCCTCACCCGCCCTCCTGTAGAGCAGTCGAAAGAACAAAGGGTTGCTGGGAACTTGCGGGGTGGACTGCAAGTTCCCCGCCCCCACAGAGGCAAAGGAGGCTCGGCCACCTGCCTCGCCCCTCCAGGTGGTGACCCCACACCCATTCCAGCAAGTTTCCAAAATGTACCCATTCTGTCCCTCCCCAGTCTTTCCTTCAGCACCTAGATGCAGAGCACCCACCTGCCCCAGACTGGAGGGCAGACCAAGGGTGGACCTCACCTTCCCACTCCTGCATCGCTGCCCACTTGGGAACCCCCACCCACCAAAAGCCTTTGCCCTGAGGTATCCCTGCCTGGATACCCACACCCAGTGGGGAGCATCAGGAAGTCTCATGGCACCCCCGTCTTGGTAGAAGTGCCCTACGGAAAGGCCAGCACCTGCCTGGAGTGGACACTGAACAAGTGAAGAGAGAGGGGAGTGAATGAAGGAATGCCATCACGGTCAGGTGCCTCGCCTCGCCCTCGCCACGTCCATGTGAGGCCCCCCTCTGGCTGTTCCCGAGGTGACAGTCACTGCAGCAGAGAGAGAACAGTGGACACTCACCCCACATCCTGCAGCCCCCAGGTGATCCACCATGGTCACGCCTCTTCCCTGCTCAATTTTACTCTCCTCTTCCCCAGGTCATAGCCCCACGGTGACTGCCCAGACGGCTCCCGTGCTGTCCTACGGGGCAGGGTGCTAATCTACACCGAATGTAGGATGTTCACATCAGCCCGGTCAGGGACGGGTGGCAGGGACTCTTCATCTGCCCCTCGAGGACTGGCTGAGCCCCACATCGTTCACTTTAGCCTTCTGACCGGAGGCAGCTGGGCCCAGCTCAGTGGGCCAGCCAGGGGCTGTTGGCCACAGCAGACCTGGGTTGGCTCACTGGGGACTGTAAGCTGCCAGTTACCTGGGGGCTTATAAGGAGACCAACAGCTCATAAGAGGCATTCACCCATCTCAGGGGAGCCCACCACACAGCACCACGTTCCTGACATACCCCCTGCCCACTCCTGCCTCGACTTGCAGTCCTGAGGCTGGTCCAACCTCCTCAGGCTGGCTTCAGCTGAACCTCTTCCTTCCCCTGGCTGACTGCTGTCACCTGCCAGGGCCACCTCTTTCAGAAATGAGATGACCTGTGGACACACACCTGGATCCACCCCTCAGTGGAGCCAGGAGTGCCAGACACTGCTCAGACCCTCCTCAGTCTCCCCATCAGCAAACTAAGGGTGGCCTGGATCGGTGGGCCTTCCGGGCATGCATAAGCATCAGCCTTTCAATATGTGCAAGCCTGAATGATCTTGACCATAGCGCTCCAGGGTCCCTGGCTGCCATTCCTTCCCAGGCCCCATGCCCAACGCTGAGCAGAAGAGGCCCACTCCATGTCCAGCAAAGCCTGAGCCCCCAGGGCTCCTGACTGCCCCCCACACCTCTGTCCCACCCAAGGCTCAGGTGGAACCCAAATGGTCCTCAACTCATGGGCCTCGGGCCTCCTCACAGCTCCCAGACTTGCGGTTACAGTGTCCTATGGTACGAGAATAAAGAGGCCTCTTCCCCGTACTGCCCTCAGAGATGGGGACACCTGGAAGTCCCAGTCTCCAGGAAGTGGTCTGACAAGAACAAAGGAAGAAGGGAATGAGTGCTGAAAGACACATCAGCCACTCTCCCCAGGTCCTCCAGGGAGAAGGCTGTGGGCTCTGAGGTGGGACACACACCCAGAGCTTCGCCACTGCCTTGGGACCTGCACATCAGCCACCAGCTTCAGCTCCTCCATGCATGATCTGGGCGGGGTCACCAAGCGGGGCCAGGGCTCGGGAACCTGGGACCATGGCATGGAGGCCCTGCACCTTCACACACTGTGGGCACAGGGGCCTTGAAGACTGCTTTGTGGGCCCCACACATGTGGCCCTAGCTTGGGGCTTTTCAAACTGATCGGAACCAAAGAGATTTTCAAAAACTACTTGAAGCCCTTGCTGGCCATGACACAACCTCTTGGGAGTGTTCCAAATTCGGATCCATATTATTTACCTGACTTTTATCTTTCTTCCCTACTTCACGGCGTTCATAACTGGGTCATCTTTTAACTATTCAAAATGTACCTTCAGGGAAGAGGGGGCGGGCTTTATAAATAACCTGTATTATTATTATGCAGGTTGACTCTGCTCCCCTCACTGAAGGGAACATGAAAATACATGTTTGTGACTCATCCCCCACTGGGGAGGATGGCACTGTGCTCATGAGTACCGGCCGGGTCCTTCTGAGGCTCAGCGTGGACGCCATGTGGTGGCCCCTGCACGGGGGAGGGGAAAGGCTTGCATTCAGCCTTGAATCCCTGGAAGCCAGGGGATTTTGCGTGGTAACAATCGACTTGGCAGAAACTCCCCATCCAAAGCAGTCACTGCAGGCAGGTGCGGCCACTTGGGATGGGGAGCAGGGGGCTCCTGCCCTTCCCCCTTACCCACAGGTGGTAACTGTGCCAAGCAAGGCCCCAGGGTCTGCTCACCCCCAGCCCACAACCAGCAGTTATGTGAAGTCACAGTCACGTTTGTTCCTGGGTGGTTGGGGCCATTTATGGACACTGTCACCTCCATGCCTGTAGGTCTGTGCTCCAAACTTGGATCACGGGGAACCAAGTGCTCCAGAGTAGAGAGCTGTAGCCTGGCACAAGAGGAGATATAGACTGTCTCAAGCACCTAAGGATGAGCTATTTGCAAATAAAATCACAGCCCCAGGGTGACCTGAGACAGTGCCTCGCCTCCCTGGGGTCTCTTGGGGAAGTCCTAACACTTCACGGAAGTGACTAACTCAGTCATGGGGTCCTTGCTGCATAAATTTTGCATTGATAAATAGATCTCTGGTAGGAAGCCTAGAGAGGTCTGCAGATGTCCTGGTTATTAGCAAGTCAAAATGCCCTTTCTAAAAGGCCTGCTGGGCCACCTGGGTGAGCAGCATCTCTACCCTCCACCTCGGGAGGAGCTCTGGGCTCGGGCGTGGGTGTGTTTGGGGCTGTGCCTGCATGGCACGTTTCTCCTTTGGGTGGGGACAGAGCCAGGCCCTGGCGGCCCTTCTTCACTTTGCTCACTGCAGGTTGGGGTGTCTCTCCATCCCGGGGACCTGCCGGGGCTGCTACTGCTTCATTTCTAAAGCAGGTGTACAGCCTTTCCCCAGGAGGCCAAGCAGGTAGGCACATGTGAGAGGCCTCAGATGGCTGCCGGTTAACTCTTTGAAGCTCGTCCCACCCTCTGGCAGTTAAAGAGCGGCATTTCTGTCCGACTGCCCGCCCTGCTCCCTTTAATCCTCCCAACGGCTCCTGCTCCCCAGGGTGCCAGTGTCCTGGGACATCCAGCGACCAGTCTCAGCCTCAGGAAGTGGTACTTCCCACTCCACACTCCTCCAGCTCCACGCGAGCCACCCCACCCCATGTCCCCGTGTTCCCGCCTTACCTGTGCAGGGCTCCCAATGCTGGGTGCCATGACCAGGGCTCGCCAGGGGCAAGAGGGCCACACACAGTGTCAGCAGGGCAGACATGAGAGGCTCGGGTCCCAAACTCCATCCAGGGGCTCCTCTCGGCCTGCAGGGAGGCAGCTGCTTCTCAGACACCCGAGCCAGCCCTTCTAGGGGTGGCCTGGGCCCCCAGGGGTCACTGCAATGGCCACATGCCAGTGCTGCGGGGGGGACAGAGGTGGCCCTGGCAGCAGCCTCCGGAGAGCTCCCAGTTTGCTCGGCAGCAGGAGGCAGGTGCCCTGGCAGGTCGGGCCGCAGGCAGGCTTATCTCTCCGTTTCTCCCCGATGGGCTTGGGTCCCGCGTGCAGGTGACAAGGGATAGCAATCACTGCAGGTCTGGGATTAGTCATTGGCAAAGCACATCCTCCCAGAGGAAAGACAGAAATAGACGGCTCAGCGGGCAGCTGAGAACAAACCAGAAAAACTTAGAAAACCAGTTTTCCTCGGGTGCAGACTCCCCGATGTTGCCTTGTAGGACTAAGAGAGCCCAGGTGACCTTGGCTGGCTGGGCAGGAGGGAGCCTGAACCTGTGTGCTCTGTGGAGTCTCCCACCTCAGTGGCAGGTCTTCGTCCTCTCTTGGGGGATCCCCAACACAGATTCCACACTAGGGGGTCCCTGGAGACCGCAGCAGCTCTGCAGGATGTCTGGCAAATGCAGGTCCTGTGCTCTGCTGGGTCCCAGAGCGTCCCCAACAGGGGCCGGCTGCCTTAGGAGGGCTTTTTATCTGGTGCCCAGCCCTCCCAAGGGGGTGTGGGTTTGTCAACTGCCGGTGTCAGGAATTTCCCTGTGGAGGGAGTCGTCCTTACAGGGAACAGCTCGTGAAGAGAGGAGGAGCGTCGCTCTGTGGGAACAGAACACCTCAGGCCGCACACAGCTCTCACTCAGTCAGGGTCACTTCCTTAAAACCCAAGTCTTAGCCCCCAAACTGCCGCTGGTGCGAACTGCTTCTCAGGGTGGAACAGCGGTCAAACATGAGTATTCTTTAAAGAACAAAAGACTAGCCCGCTCCTCTGCCGTCTCCAGACACAGCTGCATGCAAACACCCAGAAATCTGCACATGCAACCACCTGCCGGGTCTGTGTGTCTCGGGTGCAGACCCCGCCAGCCAGTGGTGGCAGCTCTGCCTGGCTCAGTAGGACCCCCTTTCACAGGCCCCAGAAATGCACCCCCGTGCTAGGAGACACTCATCTCTGTCTCTTCCTTTTCTTCTGCCCTCTCTCCTCTCTCTTCTCTCCACCCCTGTAGCTACTAATCTGTAATTTCTGTCCTAGTTACAAGGGTTGTCAGGTTGCAGTAACTAGGTTTATATGAAGAAAACATCGAAAAGGCTCTAATTACACGATTTGCACTCACCTGGTCCAGGTGAGCCTTTGGGCGGCCTCCCTCACCCCAACACCCCTTGCTTGGGTCCTGGTGGACTCGCTTCCTGTGACTCCTCACCCCAGGATCTGCGCAGCCGTGAGTGCTCACACACAGCCCACTGCGCCATGGCCCGAATTTGCCAAAAACAAGGATGCTTGGTGTCCAAGAGGAGTGGTGGCCTGACCTGCAGGAGACAGCTGTCACCTGTGCTGTCCTCCTTCCTTTCCCAGTTAATGAGCACTTTGTCCTGAGCTTGGCCCCCTCCCAACCCAGCTTCAGTCATGGTGACCTCTGGGACAGTGCCCCAGGTGGGAGGTGACTTCCCATAGGATGGGCAGGGCCACAGACCCAGGTAGCTGTGGCCTCCAAACCCCCTTAGAAGCCGACAAAATGAAATCATGCCCTTTTTTTTTTAGCATCTTGATTTGGAGAGTCAAAATTAAGTTACCTTAAGGGTATATTTCCTTATATTACACTAGATCCCATTAAGTAGCTATTCGTGATAGCACTGCTAAACCCCACAGAGATCTGTCTGTGCAAAGGGGACTACATCCCCAGAGGCAAAGGGTGGGAGAAGGTGCACTGCCAAGAGAGTAAGGGAAGGAGAGAGAGAGAAAAAAACTTAATACGGTCAGCTGGGAGGTCCTAGGGCTTTGGAACTCTTGAGCAAAACTGATCAAACATGTCCTGAAGGTCACTTGTCCCTGGGGCTATTCAACGTGTCCCAACCAAAGAATGACAAGGAAGAGACAGGTAAAGGGGAATTTGGAAGTAACTCTAGGTTACAAAATTAAGAGGCTGATTTCCAACTAGTGATTCAACCAGCCCATTATTTGTTTGGACTACAAACCTTAGTGGCTTTTTAATAATTTAAAGACAGCAGTATTTCTCTGGGATATACCATAACTTGGTATTTACAGCCACCCCCCCCCACATCCTCAGGGGACAAGTTCCAAGGTCATCACTGGATGATGACACCACAGATAGTGCTGAAGCCTATAGATACTGTGTGTTCCCTCCACAGACACCCACAGTAAAGCTGAATTTATAAATTAGGCACAATAAGAGATCAGTGTAATAACTAGGAATAGAGCAGAACGATGACAGCACTGTCCTCTAGTAAGAGTGACGTGAGTGAGGTCTTTTTCTCTCTCCCCATTTTTCAGACTGCAGGGACCCCTGTCCTCAGGAGGCATGAAGAGGTCTCTGGAGGAAAGAGAGAAGGAGAGAGAGGGGGCATTTGGGATCTGACAGAGTTAGAGAGAGGTAGGAGTACTCGGCAAGCCTGGAAGATGGCGCTGGCCACCCCCTGGAGTAAGGTGCTCCTGTGCTGGGTCCCCCAGGACTGGGCACACCCACCTCCTTCACCCCCCATGACCCTCCATCACTGAGCCATCAGCCACTTACTACCCTGGAGAGGTTCACATAGGGCCGATTGTCTCCAGGAAGTGCAGGGAGAGACCCACTCTGAAGCGTCTCTGACAGGCCATCGCATCGGGTTACTTGAGAAGAGGTAAGAGTTCCCACCACATGAAGAGCCCCTGGATAGCAGGGCATTAACCTCTCGCTACTAAGGATTGCTGCCAGCATTTCCTCCCTCCCATTTCTCTTTTTGACGCCTTGGTTTACCTGATCATTTCGAAGGTACTTTAACTTCTTATTTAGTCAGCAACACTTTCCTTCAGACTCATGGGCCTTAAAATTCAGTTATGAAGTTTCTTTACTGTTCTATTCATGTCCCTTTAGGTCTCTAGAAAACCTGGGTGGCAGTGACTCTAGCGCCATTTCCCAGGGTCAGCGTGAACCTACCATCTATTAAATACTTCCTCCCCACCTCCTGGGAGCGTGTGTGTCGTTTTTGCAGGGTTGGGGATGAACCCAGGGCCTTGCACTCCACCTCTGCAGCTATGCCCCCAGCCCTTAAATGCCAGTTGCGCTGGAGTAAGCTCTTCGTACGCCTGGCTCCATTCCACCACTCTGCTCCACTACCCTCCTTGCCCGTTTCCTCGCCCCATATCATATCACCTTGGTGACGGGGTTTATAGGCAGTGTGTGTCTGGACTGGTAAGGACATACACTTTAGTTCTCCCCTTCAAAAGTGTATTAGCAATTCCCACATACTTGCTTTTCCACATGAAGTATTAAAATTATCGGCTTCCATAGCTGGCCATGGCAATGTCACCTGCACCTCCAGCTACTTCGAAGGTTGAGGCTAGAGGAGTAGTTGGATCCATGAGTTCAAGGCCAGGCTGGGCAACATATAGTGAGACTCTGCCTCAAAATAAAAAAATAAATATATAATCCATTCCCATCTCACCTCCGAGACTAAAATCAAACTCATAAGCAAAAAAATATGACAGGAATACCTTTTGGAGTAGCTAGAAGTTTATTGATTAGTTTGAGAATGGATGGGACATTTTTGCTGTATAAATCTCCCCACTCTGGGTGACGGCCTATGTCTTTGTTTATTCAAATCGCAAACTAAGTTTGCCAGAAAAGTTACAGCTTTGCTGCGCTGTTCTGCACAGTTATTTCTGTAAACATCCGACGGTGTCACTTCCAATGTTATCATTACAACTTTACTGTAGCAATTCCGCCATTTCTACCGGTAATTGGTTGCTGCAAGTATAAAGAAAACAGATTCGTTCTTGTACAGTTGTCCCGAATCTAGCAACCCCAATTACTAAGTGACTTTAATTTTTAATTTGCACGTGCGTGCTCAGGCTTGGGATTGGACTTAGGATACTAAGTGGACTTAGACTTGCTCAGTTTTCTAGATAAGCAGTGCCTTCAAACAAAGATAATTTCGACTCTTCCGTTTCAATATGTCACCAATCTCTTGAGAGTCGTGTTTTACAGCGTGAACTTAGAGCCTTCAAAGAAGTGCTGAAAACAGGAACAATAGCGGACAGGCTACTCACTCCTGTCCTCGGGAACAGCTGTGGGATTTGGAGGTCATTCTCGTTTTCCAGAATTGCTCTTTTTTCTCTTTTACTTAGAGTGGGAATAGCTGAAGATTTTCTCAGATGCTTTTGATTTCATGTGTTTTCAATTCTGTTAGCAATTAGTTACGAACATCTCTTTCCTAATGCTGAACCACTCTCATGCCCCTAAGTAAGTCATGTGAGTCACAGGCATCCCCCCTTCCTTCCTTTGTTTTTATTTAATGTGTATTAATTGTACAAAACGGGTTTCATTAGGACAGTTTAATACTTGTGTATAATGTTGTTTGACATACCCCGTTACCCTCACTCGTCCCCTCATACACGACAGGAGTCTGTCCAGTGTTCCATTTGGAATCTTGTGTCATACCCTCGCTCTTCTCTCCTCGCACTCTTTCCAGGTGGCCCGTGGGAAGGCTGGAACATGAGTGTCACAGTGCACACTGCACTCTGCACTAGGCCTGCTGTGCCCGCAGCTCACCTCCTCACATCCTCCTGGTGTCTCAAGAATGGTCCCTCATCTGGTGATGCAGGCCAGAAACCCAAAACTCATCCCGGCAGCCCCTAGGGAAGCCCCATGGAGTTCACCTCCAGCACCTCTGCCTCTGCCATGTCCTGGCCCAGCGGCCTTCCTTCCTTGTCCCTTGTCACTGCCGGACTGTCTCCCACAGCCCCAGACTTGAGGGGTGCTTTTATACAGTCAAGGAACACTCCGTAAG